ATTGCGCACAGAATATGAATCTACAAAACAACGTTCGTGTAAGATGTAATGATTAACTTTCGCAAATTAATGTAAAATAGAGTAATTGTATTTTACCTTGAAATTTATGAGCTTTTATGAGCTGCATAACAACGATAATAGGCTGGTTGTTAGAACTTAGCAGATGAGGTACAATTTCATCAACAAACTCGCCCCAAAATGTTGCAGACAACTTCTTCCTCCTGTAAAATAGAAATAAGAATATAATTTTAGCATATGTAATTATCAAATCAATCCTTAATTAGTAGATGAATGTTTATTCTTACTCGTCATCTTCTAGTTCAATATCCATAAACTTCCTAGAATTTCCACCTTGGTTTTGCGTGTGTACCTCACTGAAATTGACAATTTCTCCGATGACATCTAAAGAAAAAGAAATTGTTAAAATAAATAGTAGAAAAGTTCATAGTTAGAAATGTAGCGTATTAGTTATATTTACCAAATAATTCAGTCTCGTTCACGTCAACCTTATTTATCAATTGATCATATAGTCGCAAATCAAAGATATTCATTGGGAAAAGTGGATCAGTTGTTTCAGCCACTGTTGTGCGTTGAGTAAACGTCAGCCTCAACATATGTTTCGTGCTGTTGAACTTCTCCTTATTATGACAAATGATAAAGTTCGCCATATGATATAATCCAAGCTCAGTAATTTGTGTTTTGAAAAGATGCAAAACTGACTTGCCAATAGAAGCACTTATCCGATCGCCCTACAAAAAAATTACATTACATAACAGAGAGTACAAAAATATATTATTAATAGTAATTTAGATTAACTCTACATTAGAGTTGAACAAACTAATAAGTGACAGTAATAGAGGAAAAATTCCAGATTTGGAGCAGAGTTCACGACCAAATATAATAACATGTAGGACTGCACAGAGTACAGCGCAGTTTGCAACTTGTAATGATAGCAGTTATGAGGGAAATCCTTTTCTTTGTCGTCCTCCATTACGCATAAAATGTATGCCGACTAAAGAGAAACCAACATCAGCTCCTGCGCCAGATTGCTGCAAAGATGATACTGGTTTTCGGGATAAGGAGTCATTCTATATTTCCTTTCTTATGGCATATTAAAATGTAGTGGTCGTAGTGGTTGTAGTCCTCTGTGTAAACCCCTATTGCAGTAGTGTTTGGTTTAATTTTGTTCAGTCTTTCATGTATTCTTGTTACTACGTACGTTTTTGCTACCAAAAACTAAACTGTACAAATTAAGATCATTGATAAGTTAATCATGCCTGAGTTATTAGTACAAACAAAATGATTATCGAGATGGTACTATATGCTTTCCTAACAAATTCCAAATAAACATAACCATTACAAAAATGATCAGCAGACACAAATCTTTTTAACTCTAGAACAAAAAATGAATCAGATAACTTATTTGGAACAATAAGTTATTTGGAACAATTGGTTGTATGATATAATCATAGAACAATTTCGAGGAGCAAACATATGTATCTATAATCATATAAAAATTCCGAAAAACAAATCGAATTAGCAAGGTAAAAACATATTTAAAATACCTTTTCATCTTAATTAGAATATGCAGATCATATGCAATTCAGAAGGGAGGATCATTTGAAGAAGATGGATTTTCTTCCAATTGCTTTCAAAAACTACTTTGCTGCAGAGTGCAGCCTAACTCAGTTATACTTCAGATCCGCATGTCATATTGTCTGTGAATATTACGCAACTATTTATATTTTGTACATGTGTGGTTGTACGTGTTGATATTAAGCACAAAAAATAGTTTCTTAAACAATTTGAAGTAGCAATTACAAATGTAGCCTATTTATGTTTACAGCATATAAAGATCGAGAAGAAGTACCTAGCAAGTGAGAGGCAAAGGTGAACAAAGTCGTGAGGGTAAATTTTAGGCTGAGCACAAACGTGCATAGCTAATCGATCAACAACGGCGGAGATGCATCAAAACCAAATAATCATATAACATATGTAAAATACCTTTTCATCTTGTAGAACCAATTCAATCGACAATATAGTGCCTGGATTAAAACGATCTGGTACTTCCCACAAACGGACAACACGAACTTTCAACTTCCATTGCATCTTCCAAATTGTTATATCCTTGATGAAATGAATGTGAGTAGCCATCTTTTGCATAAGCCCTAAGTTTTCTTGAAATCTTGATAGAAGAAGGAACTTTAGAATTGAAGAACATGTAGTTGAGAAAGAAATATAAACTTGTCACGACCCAATTTCCAAACCCGGTCGTGATGGCGCCTCTTGTGAAGACAAGGCCAGCCAACTAACCCAAATCGTCTCTTTAACATTTATTAAACATAAACGAATAGGTGAATATAGCTTAACGACAATAATAACTAGTATGTACAACCCAACACAACCCGATCGGGGTGTCACAAGTCACGAGCATCTAAAGAAACCTGAACACAACTACAGGGCCAATAATAATATATAAGGAAAAATCCTGGAAATCAAAAGACAACATCCGGTGCCGCGAACGCTGGCGGTCACCTTACTCAGCTACAATAGCCATACCTTCAATCAGCTAATAACCCGCTACCGGGTGAACAATACCTGCAACTGCACGCGAGTTGCAGGGAGTAAAGTGAGTACTTCCAACTCAGTGAGTAATAAGAGTAAATAATAACTAAGAGGCAAGAAATCACGTAAGAGCAATCCATCATGCTATATAGGATAGTACCACTCTTTGAGAAAACAGTAAAACCGTGAAAATCCTTTAGAAAATATCTGGCTCAGTTTAAAACCTCTTTTGAAAACATCCTTTTCCAACAGTCAAGCAAATGAACGCGTAATCAGATAGTGCAAGTCCGCACATAAGACAGCCCCTCGGGCACAGCACTCCACAAACAGTTAACACCAGGGCGTTTGGTAAACAGTACAAGCAATAGAATGGATGCCAATGATATGAGAGTGCTAAATGTCATGACACGTAGTACAAACAGGAACCAATGCATGAATGCAATGCAATGCATATGACCGCTGCGGCGTGCAGCCCGATCCATCTGGGTACCCGCGCTCACTGTGGGGGTTCAGACTCCAGAGGGGCTCTCACAGCCCAAGCGCAATATCAATATCACACCGCTGCGGTGCGCAGCCCGATCCATCCTCAATCCAGAAATGCACATAAGCCCCTTGGGCAATAGTAAAATAACAGTCTCAACTCAAAATGTCAGTAAAATATCATTTAGGTTTTCAAGTCTTAGAAAGATAGCTGAGTTTGCGAAACAGTATTTTAAACCTTGGACTGTGATAAAATAATATGCAAAGTAATGCAAAAACAGTGATATCAATCCCTGAAGGATTCAAACAATTGGCACGAAGCCCAAATGTAGCAATCAAACCAAATAATGATGATAACAAGTAGTTTCAGTCAATTACGCAATAAAACCAACAACCGGGACGGACTAAGTCACAATCCCCAACGGTGCTCTACCCCACGCTCATAACTGGCGTGCAAGTCACCACAATACAGCACTATGATGTGCAAATCCGGGGTTTCAAACCCTCAGGATATCATTTACAAGTATTACTCACCTCGGACCGGTGAAATCCCTAGCTCGCGACGCCTTTGTCCCTCAATCGGCCTCCACGCGCGTCGAATCTAACCAAAACCAAAGCGAATACATCACAATATGCTAAGGGAACAATACCCAATTGAAAACAATCAAAATATAGCAAAAATCTCGAAACTAGTAAAACCCGAGCCCCGGGCCCACTTCTCGAAAATTACAAAACTCACATTACCGGATTCCTCGTCTCGCCACGAGTTCATACATACCAAGAACTCCCAAATCCGAGCTCAAATGGCCTATCAAATCCCAATTTAAAATATCAAAAACTCAAGCCCTAGCTTTACCCCTTTTTGAAGAATTTCAACCAATTTCCATGTTAAATCTATCAAAGTTCCATGTATTTAGGCCAAGGGACTTACCTCCAATCACACCTAGTCGAAATCCCCCTTCAATTCCGTCCAATAGCTCCCAAGCTCGCTTAAAAATGGTGGAAATAACATAACCCTCGCGGAACAAAATGAATATAAAACTCCTACTGGCTTCAGGGGTTTCCGCTTCTGCGGAAGCTCACCTCCTGGCCAAACCCGCTTCTGCGACCGCCTGTCCGTTTCTGCGGACTCGCTTAAGCGAAAAGTGTTCCGCTTCTGCGGAACTGCCCAACTCCACTCCAGACCGCTTTTGCGACCAAGATTACGCTTCTGCGGAACCGCTTATGCGGTCCATTTCCGCAGAAGAACATACCAGATACCAGCAAAATCTACCATTTCCTCAACTTGAATTTCATCCCGATAGCCATCCGAAATCACCCCGAGGCCCCCGGGACCTCAACCAAAAGCACCAACAAGTCTTAAAACATCATACGCACTTGCTCCAATCATCAAAACA